CTCTTTTATATAGAGAGCCATTTGCCCACTTCCCTCGGAGGGCAAAACGCTCAACGCGTGACAAGAAATAATTTGAATTCTTTCAAAACCAAACATTTGAGTGCGAACTCCTTCGCTCTTAACGAGCGCCGATCGCAGTTGGAGACGTGATGGGGGGATTGGGATGAGCGCCGATGAGGAGTATGGAGGATGAGCGAGCGGGAGGGAGCGAGGGCCATTACCTTCGTTCATCTCCTCGAAAATGCCGTATTTGCCGCCCTCCTCTTCCTCGGCCACCTCGGGGGCTTCGACGTGACGAGTTGCTGGGAGATGGTTCTCCACGCGGCAAGCTGGCCGCTAGCGTGATTGCGCTGTAGCAGCGCAAGAAGCTGTGACATTTGGTGAAGCGCGTCGACGTTGTGTGGCGCGTTGTTAATATTCCGATACTCCACATGGTCGCTCCGTGAAGGTGTAGCCCGAATGTTCGCCAGCGCTGGCAAAACGGGGCGCTCCATAGCGCGTCTTGTAGGATCTCCCGAAAGTTGCACCAGAATCTGGAGAAGATTCGCTTGAGTAGTGTGGTCAAGATTTCCCAGCATCGCCGTGAAATCCAGACGAGCAGCAGCACGCGCCATCCCGATTCTGCTGCACCGGATGCTGTGAATTTTTGCCAGGCGAAAGATCCGTCACGCGCGCTGGTGCAGCAGGCGCGCGAGGCGTGTGCTTCTCAGGCGCGTGCCTATCCCGGACTGACGCGCGTCCCTGAGGGGCCTGAGGCGCGGGTCCTTGCTCCACTTACGCGTGCCTCTCCTGCTGGCCTGGCACCCGCCCCTGGGCTGATATAGTGGCGAGAGGGGGGTCGACCTGGTTGAAAAATCATGGCGGTCCCTCCTCATTACGGTTGGCGCGAGGTGTAGGGGTGCCGTCATTGCGCGTTCCTGCTCCTGCGTCGGTTGCGCTTGCAGGTTCGAGCAGGAGATTGTTACGGGCGCCCGTCGAAGAAGAGGGCGCGCGATCCTCGTTTCGACGATTGGTCCCACGCTTTGCTGCACCAATTAAATCGAGAGCCGTGACTGCTCCATGAGACTCGTTTCTGGGCGAGCAAGAACGATCCCTCCCGGAAGTAGAAATTCGGTCATCGTCTCGCCTTGGTGCCCCACGCCTTGACGAGCTTCGGGTGTTATTGCAAGTAGGAGGGGGGCGACGTTAATTGTGGAAACAAATTCACTAGCCATGTTGTTAAAGGACACATCCAGAATTACCATGTCGGCCCCAAAACTGTCACCACTCTCATGTGATTGGTCGAAAGTTTTGAGTGGGTTTTTGACGCGATTGGTTCTCGATTTCCCCACTGAACCTGTCTCTGGGGTTTCCCAAACCTGTAATTTTTTCGTTGACTTCATTTTGTAATTCGAGGTGTGGCCTTAAAGTCTTGCTGTTAAAACGTCGTTAAGCAGAGTTGAGGGTTGAGATCTAGGCATAAAGGAGATTGTGTGCCAACTCAAACTGAGATGGATGAAATGAGACTAGGGGGCAGATCTGTAAACCTGCTGAGGGATAAGAGGGGAATGACTCCTTATTGCATTCCCCCCTTTCCGAATCTTGTCACAATCATTAAATTTAGAAATTAATTTCTAAATCATTCATATTCGGTGTGATACCCTTCTTCACTACGCAGTCCTCGACAAGCCGCGCAAGTATCTCAGCAGGGCTCAATCCCGCAGCGGCGTCTACGTCCTCGACTTTGACACACCGTCCAACGAACTCATTGACATGGTTCCACTGAACTTTGAGTAGACGCTGGAAGCCTATATGACTGTAAGAGTACGACGGCTTATGCCAGCTATGCTTGCTTGCCTCTACTTTATCATGCTATTTTTAGCATAGGATAATTATATGCATGCATGAATTGCTTGATTTCCTAGGCTAGGTGCTTTCCTATATTTTATTATAGTTATAGCACCGAGCTAGGTTGCGTGCCCCAAATTCTGGCCTTTTCGGTTGCCACCGAATTGCCTTCTACCGAATTCGGCAAGGATCTGTTCGAGACGCTACGCGACCCGCGGAACCTTCGCGTAACACCTGGTTACGGGGCCTTGTGTCGAGCCTATATATAGCCTCATGTTGTACCCAGGTGATCATTCAATTCGACTCAATTCTCATTCTCTTTTCTGAGCTCGATCCTAGATCCTCACACTTGGTAATCAGAGCCCGTTTACACGCGAAGTTCTTTCGACCGCTAAAAACCAGTCTTCAAAATCCGCGGGGGCGACGAAGTCAAACATCAGTTTCGGGTACGTAAAACCGGTTCCGTGTTTCTTGCTCCCCCTCGATTCGGTTTTTTCGGACGCGTTGATGTCAGGCATGGAGGGCCAAGGCGACAACTACGCGACTACGAGCGACATCGCAAGCCTCCGCACCGACATGGAGCCGACGCAGGCGACGCTTCGCCGACTCGAGGCTTTTCTGACAAGCTAACTAGGGTTCGCCACCGCAGCAGCAGCAGCAACCGCAGCGACTGCAGCACCGACAACTCCAGCAGCAGTGGCGACACCGACATTTCACGGGCCAATGGCACCAGTGTCGCCGAACCTCGAAGCAGCACGACCGAGGCTCCCGGAGGCGTTCGATCCAAGCTCGAAGGGATGCGACGTCCGGCGATTCGTGGCCACCCTCAAAATTTACTGTTCGGCGATTCGTGGCCATTGGCTGTTCGACCCCGCAACACAACGCAGCAAGGATTCGGCTCGCAGCAACACTGTTACGTGGACCGGCTCTCGAATGGATTTACTACACCGACATAGCCCGCGTGGAGAAAACGTGGCAGCAGTTTCGGGCAGATTTAATCGAGCGTTTCGAACCAATTAATACAACCTACATGGCGCGGCAGCAGATACAGCGACACAAGCAATACAGTAGTGTAACATAGTACACGCAGCATATGGAGTTACTATTCAACCGACCTGACCGAAGGCGAAAAAATCCAGGCGTACACCGAAGGGTTAAAAATGAAGATTCGGCGGCAGGTAATTGGCGAGTGACACGACGCGTTGACTCCAGGTCAACCCCAAACACGACGCTTCACGCCGAACCGTACATTTGGCACGGAGCGATCGGCACCCCCCACGTTCGCCGAACCGATGGATATCGACAAATACGATGCGAAGCAGCAGCCGACAAAATGCGAATTTTGTCGTGCTACAAAACGAAGAAAGCACGTGCGGCACTCCGGGACGGAAACAGTGGAGCACCCCCGAAGTAAAAAAATGGGAATCGCCAGTAGTCGCGGATCGACCTGGCGATTGCGTAAAGATCCGAAAAGAACGAAAAGGCGACGACGTGGCGACTTTGGAGCGGGTGAAAAAAGGAGAAAATGATGGCGCGAATCTAAAACGTCATGACCGGCCGGCATCAGGGTAAATCGCCGAGGCGAATGGAGGCTCCGCGAAAAAAAAGACTCTGCACCGATCGAGAAACTCCAGCCAAACACCCACGAAAGTAAGAACTCGTTAAAAGTATCCTATGAAGATACTCTAACGAAAAATATTGCTTCTCGTGGTTTTCAAGCCTTGAAAAAATTCAAGGGAGGTTTAGAGGCCAAGAAAAAGCCTTCAGAAATTATTCAGGTACCTGAGAAGTATTACGGAGCGTAGAAAAGGGTTGTGCGTTCCGTGGCGTTAATATTCTCTTCCCGCAGCAGAGTATTAAGGCTCCCCGTTGCCCACAGGTGAAGCCTACACAGCTGCCAAAGCTTAGAGGAGACATCCAGGCTCAGGAGAAATTATACAAGCTTCGAAAAAATCCTCCTACCCCCCAGGTAAAGTTGGAAAGCTCTGAGTCAGGTATAGGATATGAGAAAACTGAAACGAGAATCAATACACTATGAAAGAGTTGGGTACAAGTACTAACCCTAATTGGGTTGTACCCCATATAGGCTACCCCACTACAGCCTACACAAAAGCATAAGCTATAATGCTCTGACACACCCCCATAGGCAAAGTGGGGGAGAACAAGGGGTCACAAGACCAGTCAAGCAAAGAAAAGCAAAGCAAGCTCATGGTGGATCACAAAGTCACCACACATTCCGAGCACAAGGTCAAGGCCACAAGGCCAGTTCACATGCAGGAGTACATATATATATAAAAGGCTAGACAAGCAAGAGCACTTGAATATATATATGTAACAGTACAAGCAAGGTCTAGAGGTGAGCAAGTGAGGCAAGGCAGGCACAAGACCCAGCTGAGTACAGAAGCGCTGATGATCACAAGGCGCAAGCGCCTTGGTGAAGATGTCAGCAGTGTTGGCCTCAGAGGCCACGTACGGAAGACGCAGCTGATTACGCTACTGCAGCTCACAAGCAAGGAAGTAGCGGAGAGCAATGTGCTTTGTTGTGTGCTCTATTCTCTGCTCTCGACACAAGGCCAGCATGGCCTTGTTGTCTACGAACAGCACTGGAGGAGAACGAGGCGGCTCTACGAGGTCAGACAGCAGGTAGGTGAGCCAGCAAAGCTCCTGTGCAGCCATGGCCACAGCGTAAATCTCAGCCTCACAACTGGAGCCGAGAACAAAAGACGATTGAGTAGCCCGCCACGAAACAGAGCCGGAACCAAGGCTGAAGGTGTAACCCTGTGACGACCGCTGCGTAGCCTGGTCGTCAGCCCAAGAAGCGTCTACGTGCCCAGTGAGGACCACTGGACTCTGCCCTCCAAGCACAAGCCCCATACCTGAGGTACGGCACAAGTAGCGCAACACCCTCTTCGTTGCAGCCATGTGCTCCGGTCTGTGTCTCCCAGGAGCAACATAGCGTGCGAGAATGCTAAGAGGGTATGCAAGGTCAGGTCGATTGCAGGTCATCAGGTATATGAGGCAGCCCACAAGCTCTTGGTATGGGCCACTTGACTCTACGGACTCATCCGAAGACAGAGCTGAGAGCGAGTGGCGAGTAGGCAGAGGAGTGGCCTGAGGCGAGGAGTACGGTAAGCCAAAGCGCTGAAGGACCTGCAGCACCATGTGTGACTGAGTCAGGGTAATGGTGCGGCGTGCTTTGTCCCGGGTGATCTGCAAGCCAAGGTAGCGCATGGTTCACCCAGGTCTGTGCACGTGTGTCTCTTCTGCAGCTCGGACTTCACGTGGGCGAGTCCGGTAGTGTCAGCAGTGGCAAAGACCAAGTCGTCGACGTACACGAGGATGTAGAATGGCGGCAAAGAAGTGTCGGTGCGAAGAAACAGCGACGGGTCGGCAGTAGAAGGAGCAAACCCAAGAGCCCCAAGTGTAGTCCTCATTGTGACATGCCACTCACGCGGTACCTGGCGGAGACCGTAGACTGGCCGTCGGAGGCTCCACTGGGTGCCAGGAGAAAAAGACCCAGTGAAGCCAGGTGGGCGGCGCAGCCAGATCTCCTCGTGAAGGCTACCCGGCAAGAAAGCTGTGCTGAAGTCAAAAGAGTGAAGCTCGTAGTCACGCTGAGCAGCTATGTGCAGCAGTACTTGAAGAGTGGTCATCTTCGGGGTGGGAGAGAAGGTCTTAAAGTAGTGAACTCCCTGCCGCTGACTGAAGCCACGAGCCACGTAACGCGCCTTGAAGACAGGCGGAGAACCCGGCGGCCGCTTCACCTTGAAAATCCACATACCACTGACGATGTTCGCCCCAGGCGGGGGAACCTCGTAAACGTAGGTGCCTGTGGACTTCCAGGAAGCCATCTCTGCGTCCATAGCTGCCTGCCACTAAGAGGAGTAGGGACCCTCTATCGCCTTTGCGTAAGAGCGCGGAGTTGGGATGTCAAGTGCATCCGGGTCTCCCTCAGGGGTAAGCAGACGGACACGAGATGAGGTGAAGCAGCAGCCAGACACTGGAACTCCTCCTGCCTGTCCTCAAGGACGTCCGTGCCAAGGGCACACTCACCCTCGATGGACGGAGGACTGACAGACTCAGACTCAGCAACAAGACTGGCGGCGTAGTCTAGGCGACAGCGAGCAGCAAAGTCGACGAGCTCAGCAACTAGGGCAGACGCAGCAGTGGACTCAAAGGAGGGGTCAGTGACAACAGTAGCAAGGAGACGCGTGACAGTAGGACTGGCAGCACGAAGAGAGTCCGAGTCCGGGTCGACAAGAGCAAGAAGCAAAGACTCAGAAGGAGAAGGTAAAAGGGCACGCAGAGGAGCTGTGGACGGACGCAGAGACATCCGGTGCGTGCTAGAGACAGGAGGAGGACCCTCATGCAAACCGCGACCACTAGTGCGAGCAGCACGGATAGGCGACACAGAGCGAGACGCAGGCTCACGACGCTCAGCAAGACCTCCAGTAGGACCAGTGTAGGGAGAAGGAGCAGGCAGTAGAGAGGCCGGCTGTAACTATCACTGTGACGGGACAGGCTGTGGACACTCTAAGGGAGGAGGACCAGTAGAAGGCGGGAGACCAAGAACCTGCTGAAGGAGCGGAAGGAAGTACGGGCAAGGCCGCGCGGCGACTCCAGACACAGCAGGGACAGCACCAGTACCCCCAGCGCCAGCACCAGCACCAGCAGCATCTCCAGCTCTAGTACCTCCAGCAGCACCAGTAGCACCCCCAGCAGGACTGCCTCCAGGAGCGACAGCAGTAGCCTCCGCGCCAACACCCGCAGCAGCTCCAACTCCAGAAGTACCCGCAGGCCCAGCAGCTCCAGTACTCCCAGTACGAGCACCTCCGCGACCCGCGGCACCAGTATCATCAGCAGCAACAGAACCTTCAGTACCCGCAGCACCTCCAGCTCCAGTAGCTTGCCTCCAGCGCCGGGCAAACCACTCACGCTGCTCCTGTGGAGAGAGTGGCTCCCGGCGAGACGAAGCACCCGAAGAACCGCCAATCACAGCACCACCGGACGCCACACAAGGAGGCCCAGCTCCCTCAGGCTCAGCACCTGGAGACTTAGCACCTCCAGGCGTAGCACCCCCAGGTGTAGCACCCCCAGGCTCAGCACCCCCGGGCTCAACACCCCCAGGCTCATCACCCCCAGGCTCAGCACCCCGAGGCTCAGCACTCCCAGGCTCAGCACCCCCTAGGCGTAGCACTAGAGTCACCAGCGACCTCGATAGGCTCAACAGCGTCTACCTGGGACACACCTGAAGGGGCAGGACCCTGAGGGGGGAGAGGGTCTACCGGGGGGGGACCTAGCACAAGGAAGAGCGGTGGCGGGGAGAGGGACGGAGTGCGGTAGGGGAAGAGACGGTAGTAGGGGACCGACTCGTCGAACGTGACGTCCTGGGAGGACAGAACAAGACGAGAGGTGGGGTGGTAGAACTGCCACCCTGGCGCGTCAGGGGGGGAACCCTAGAAGACGCAGGGAGCAGCACGAGGGGACAGCTTGTCCGCAGACAAGTCGCGGACAAACGCCCGAGATCCCCACACACAGAACGCAGATGCATCGCCAACCTTTCGCGTCCACAGCAAGGCTGGGGAGGTCTCCGGCATGAAGACCTTGGGCTGAAGGTTGATCTGATGCGCCGCGTACTGGACCGCAAACGGCCAAAGAAAATGGGGGGCAGCCGCATGCATCATGGACGTACGGGCGACGTCCATGACCATGCCAATGCGGCGCTCAGGAATCCCATTTTGCTGTGGAGAGTCCGGAAGCGTGAAGGTCTGGCAGATGCCTCGTGTAGGACGGTAGGCTCGTAAAAGGCTAGAAGAGAACTCTTCGCCTCTGTCAGAGTGCAGACGCAGAAGAGGAAAGTTCGAGCCGAAGCTCTGCCTGAGCTGGAGACGAGCTGCGCGGATCCAGTCGATCAACACCCCAGTGACATCACCCTTGCTGCGCAAGGGGAAGACTGTGGTGTAACGCGAGTTGTCGTCAACCACTAGCAGGAAGTAGCGCTCCTGACCCTGTCCACGGACACGGGCCGGGCCCCACACGTCCATGTCAAGAGTCTGCAGCGGGGCCTCTGTTGGAGGAAACTGTCAGGAGTGAGGGGCAGCCCGCTGCCGCCCCTCGACACAGGGGATGCAGGTAGGGCCAGGCCTCGGAGGAAGGGGAGGGAGGGACCGGGGAAGACCAGAGACAAGGAGACGGTAGGCCATGCTTCGGAGACAAAGCAGGGAGGGGTGGCCAAGGCGGTGGTGCCAGAGGAGAGTCTCGTGAGACAGGAGGCGACACGAGCAAGGGGTAGACTCAGGACCGGACCTGGACGCTGCAGCAAACACCTGACCCGACGCAGCTACCCGACCAGACGCAGTGACTGGAGGAGACGCAGTGGTCAGCGTGTACAAGCTCGACCCCAGCCGGCATGTAAACGTGGCCAGGTGTTGGCCTATCCGAGCGTCCGTGCAGTGGGTCACCCGCTGACTCGCAGGAGTGAACTGGTGAACCCCCGCATCCTGTAGGTCAGCACCACTCACCAAGTTCGTAGAGAACGAGGGGAGGTAAGGACCAGACAGGGTGCTAGAGGGGGCCGCCGGACACGGGAGGACAGTGGAGAAGTGAGCAAGGACAGGACCCCCAGAGGGGTCTGTTAGAGAGACTGCAACTGGCCGACCAAGCGGCGTGAGTGTGGTGCGATCTCGAAAGAAGGAGCGGGAAGCCCCCGAGTCAAGAATGAAGGTGTGAGAGGCCAGAGCGGACGCGGTACCTGAGATAGCAGACTCACCCGCACCTGAGGAAGTAGACTCACTAGCACCTAGAGCAGTAGCCGCACCTATTCCTGGAGCAAGAGACTCACTAGCACCCAGAGCAGCAGCCTCTCCAGCAACTAGAGCAACAGGCTCTATACCCGGGTGAGGCAGTAAGCACAGGTGACCGGCACGGTCGGCACCAGTAGGCAATGCATATATGGCAGTGAGAATAGCATCATAGTCAAGAGCAAATATATCTATCCTTTGCCTAAGCAACTCCACCCAGTTGGGGAGCTCAGCCTTGTCGCCAAACTCGGAACGCCAGGCGTCGCTCAGACGGGCGAAGCAGCGGGACTATGTGTGACTAGGTGTCCCACAAGGCTGACCAGTTCGAGCATTAGTGCGAATCACGTAAGAGTAGCGAACAGAACTAAGAGACCCTCTACTCTGAGCGTACCACTCACGAAGCTGCTGGGGCGTGAGAGACGCATGTGGGCGTCGCTGGAGCTGCATCTTGCCGCCACCAGTAGTAGTAGCAGCAGTAGTGGTAGCAGTAGCAGCTTCGACACCCCTACAACCCCAACCAACATACCACTCACGCAGCTGCTGGGGCGTGAGAGACTCACACGGACGTCGCTGGGGCTGCATCTGGCTCCGCCAGTAGAAGTAGGAGCAAGAGTAGCAGCAGTAAGGCGAGCAGCCAGGCAGGCCGAAAGGCAGGCAGGCAGGCAAGCAGGCGGCGGGCAGCGCGCAAGCAGGGCAGGGGCTCACCAGTGGTGGGAAGAGCAGGCTCGGCGACTCGGCGGTGCGGGCGGCTTGGGCGGCTCGGCGGCACGGCGGCTCGGGAGCAACTGCGGCTCAGGGACTCGGGGGCTCGGGTGGCTCGGGCGGCTCGGCGGTACGGCGGCTTGGCAGCAACTGTAGCTCGGCGGCTCGGCGACCCGGCGGCTCGGGCGGCTCAGGTGGCGCTGCGGCTCGGGTGGCTTGGGTGGCTCGGGCGGCTCGGTAACAGCTCGACGGCGCCGGCAGCTCGGTGGTGACGGCGGGGCCGCTTGGGGACGGCGATGGGGCCGGCTGCTTAGTGGCGCGGGCGGCTCGGCTGGTACGGGGGCTGGGGCCGGGACCGGAGGTAGAGCGGTGGGGCCGGGGCGCAGGTAGGGTGACGGGGCCGAGGTCGCAAGTGGGGCGACGGGGCCGGGGTCGCAGGTGTTAGAGACTAAGGATCGAGTCTGTGAAGATTAGGAGCCTAAATTTCTCAAAATCGTTGGCTTGAAATTCTGGACAGAAACCGCGACTTCACAAAAAACGTTGTCGACGGAAAGTGTACTGTTAGAATCGTCTCAAACTCGAGTATGCTATAGCCCTTGTTTGTGGCTATCATTCCCAATTTGGATCGTATCGAAAGATGGAGTAAATCTCGAGTTATGCTTCTCGGCGCACCAGGGGGTATGCTGCCACATAGAAATTAAATTCACTCACACTAGTTTCACAAGTTCACAAGAGTTGCAGACAAGAGAGTTAGAGTAGCACTAAACCAGGTAGGAGGAAAGAGGAGGACGAGAGGGAAGGTCCCAAGAGAGTCCCCAACCAAGGAAACCCCATGCCATACAATTCCCTTCCCCATAGGCAACCCAACTTTGACCTTTGTCACTATCCCAACCTCCACAATCCACCTCAACCCAACTTGGCCACACTTGCCAGCCTGGTTTGGTCACTCCCAACCATTTGGCAGCAACTACAGTAGAAAAGACGAATTTCCCAACCCTCAAAAGTCTGTACCCCATATTGAGTCAACCCCACAACTTCCCATAGTCACCACAACCAAATATCAAAAGCATACGAACTCCAACGTTCGTAACTTTCTTGTTCGTTTTCCGATTGAAGCGATACTTGGTTCGTCGGAAAGCTCTTGAGCAGAGGAGTCACTTCAGATATCTGCTCAAGCCAAATAACATTCACACACACACACTCAGAAAAACCAAACCGCACAAAACACAAATTCTTGCACACACTCACAACACGCATGCAACGCACGAACATATGATGGGAGGCAGACAGACTTGAATGCGAATGGTAGCATCACTCAACAGCAGGTGAGGCGACGGGGCCGGGGTCGCAGGTGGGGCGACGAGGCCGGGGTCGGAGGTGAGGCAACGGGGCCGAGGTCGCAGGTGGGGCGACGGGGCCTGGGTCGCAGGTGGGGCGACGGAGCCGGGGTCGTAGGTGGAGCGACGGGGCCGGGGTCGCAGGTGGGGCGACGGGGCCGGGGTCGCAGGTGAGGCGTCGGGGCCGGGGTCGCAGGTGGGGCGACGGGGCCAAGGTCGCAGGTGGGGCGACGGGGCCGGGGTCGCAGGTGGGGCGACGGAGCCGGGGTCGCAGGTGGGGCGACGGGGCCGGGGTCGCAGGTGGGGCGACGGGGCCGGGGTCGCAGGTGAGGCGTCGGGGCCGGGGTCGCAGGTGGGGCGACGGGGCCAAGGTCGCAGGTGAGGCGACGGGGCCGGGGTCGCAGGTGGGGCGACGGAGCCGGGGTCGCAGGTGGGGCGACGGGGCCGGGGTCGCAGGTGGGGCGACGGGGCCGGGGTCGCAGGTGAGGCGTCGGGGCCGGGGTCGCTGGTGGGGCGACGGGGCCGGGGTCGCAGGTGAGGCGACGGGGCCGGGGTCGCAGGTGGGGCGACGGGGCCGGGGTCGCAGGTGGGGCGACAGGGCCGTGGTCGCAGGTGGGGCGACGGGGCCGGGGTCGCAGGTGGGGCGACGGGGCCGGGGTCGCAGGTGGGGCGACGGGGCCGAGGTCGCAGGTGGGGCGACGGGGCCGAGGTCGCAGGTGGGGCGACGGGGCCGGGGTCGCAGGTGGGGAGACGGGGCCGGGGTCGCAGGTGGGGCGACGGGGCCAGGGTCGCAGGTGATGCGACGGGGCCGAGGTCGCAGGTGGGGCGACGGGGCCGTGGTCGCAGGTGGGGCGTCGGGGCCGGGGCCGCAGGAAGGGCAACGGGGCCGAGGCGCAGGTAGGGCGACGGGGGCGGGGCGCAGATAGGGCGACGGGGCTGGGGCGCAAGTAGGGCGACGAAGCAGGGGCCGCGAAGGCGGCGCGACGTGGCCGCTAGGGCGGCTCGACGAAGTCAGAGAGGGGAGCGCGACTCGGGCTGAGTGCGCTCCGGGCAAGAAAAAAAAAATCGACTTGGTGGGCCCTAGGTACAGTTCCCACGAGGGAACCTGCTCGATACCATGAGAAAACTGAAACGAGAATCAATGCACTATGAAAGAGTTGGGTACAAGTACTAACCCTAATTGGGTTGTACCCCATATAGGCTACCCCACTACAGCCTACACAAAAACATAAGCTATAATGCTCTGACAGGAAAATGGGAAGGTATTAAGTTTGATGTACCCTATGTTCCTACTCCTCGTGGTGTTATGCAATGGGCGACACCTCTAGGCACTGGTGGACAGCGGTGCATCTCACTCGGTGTGTGACCGCGGAGCATTGGAGAAAATTGGAGAGAAGGCGGAAGAGACCCAGTTTTCAGCAACCATGGTGGACTGTACGAAGCTTCCTATCCACGGCAAAGCATCACTACAGCTGCATATAGGTGCGTTGAGGTGGAAGCTGAAGCTACCAGTCACCAACATCAAAGGATTAGATTTTATCTTGGGGCGAGATTTTTTGAAGCGGTTCAACCCCGAGATCGATTGGGTCAACAGCAAGGTGTTTATCTACAACAACGGGAAGCAGATAGCACTGCAAAGCTAGACGGATACAGGGAACGTTCCTGAAACGACACTGGCACGGTTCAAACAGACGGTGAACGAGAGTAACACGGGTTACCTAGCACTGGTCATGACAACAGCAGAGGAGCAGAAGTCGAGTTCCGAGCTCCCTGCTGTCAGAAATTCCAACCACTAGACCATTGGGATAAAAGGGCTTGTTTCAGTAGCGGGTCAGTGCGCCCATAACCCCCCAGGCGAACGCGCCTGTAACCCTCTCCAGGATCAATCGGGCATCCACAGTGCAGATCTACTGACACCCCCCCAAGCAAACGCGCTTGTAACCCCCCCTAGGATCGATCGGGGATCTCACAGTGTAGCTCTACTGACACCCCCCCACACTGGGAGGCCCAGGACTAAGCACAGCGGCGACGGCCCACATGTGCATACACCGGGAATCGAACCCAAGACCGCTCTGATACCATGTCAGAAATCCCAACCACTAGACCATTGGGATAAAAGGGCTTGTTTCAGTAGCGGGTCAGTGCGCCCATAACCCCCCAGGCGAACGAGCTTGTAACCCTGTCCAGGATCAATCGGGCATCCATCGTGCATCCACAAGGCGTACACGTGGACTCGCAGAAAATCAAAGCCGTCAAGAAGTGGAAAGTACCAGAGAACGTGAAGGAGTTGCAGCAGTTCCTAGGCTTCGCCAACTACTACAACAGGTTCGTGCCGTAGTACGCTAAGATTGTAGCGCCACTAACTGACCTTTTGAAAAAGGATACGCCCTATAATGGGATACCCCTCATCAGCAAGCCATGAAGCAGCTACAAACAACACTAACTAAAGCGCCAGTGCTCATCTTGCCGGATCCAGACCAGGACTACGTGATGGAAGCAGATGCGAGTGACCAGGCAGTCGGAGCAGTACTGATGCAGGATCACGGACACGGTTCGCGTAGTTGTCGCCTTGGCCCTCCATGCCTCACATCAACGCGTCCGAAAAACTGAATCGAGGGGGAGCGAAAAACACGGAACCGGTTTTACGTACCCGAAATCGATGTTTGATTGCGTCGCCCTCGCGGTTTTTTTAAGACTTGTTTTAGCAGTCGAAAGAACTTCGCGTGTAAACGGGCTCTGATTACCAAGTGTGAGGATCTAGGATCGAGCTCAGAAAAGAGAATGAGAATTGAGTCGAATTGAATGATCACCTGGGTACAACACGAGGCTATATATAGGCTCGACACAAGGCCCCGTAACCAGGTGTTACGCGAAGTTTCCGCAGTCCGCGTAGCATCCCGAGTAGATCCTTACCGAATTCGGTAGAAGGCAATTCGGTGGCAACCAAAAAGGCGAGAATTCGGTGCACGCAACCTAGCTCGGTGCTAAAAATATAATAAAATATAGGAAAGCACCTAGCCTAGGAAATCAAGCAATTTATGCATGCATATGATTATCCTATGCTAGAAATAGCATGATAAAGGCAAGCAAGCATAGCTGGCATAAGCCGTCGTACTCTCACATTGAAGCAATCGCCGCGCTGCAGGTATCAGAGGTTGGCAGCTGCTTCAGAGGAGATGGGATTCAAGACTAGCAGCTGTGATGAGAACCACTTTCTCAAGGGGGAGAAGGAGAAGCTGGTGAAATTTCTAGTCAACTTCGATGATTTTCTTCTCTTCAACAGGAGCATGACGGAGATCCAGAAAGTGAAGCAGCAGCTTATGGAAAACTTCAAGTGCAAGACCCTTGGGGAGGTAAAGTACTACTTCGGGATGCACATTGATCAAGGATGGTTGAATTTGCACCAAGATAAGTTTATCAAGGAGCTGGGGGGGAAAGTATGGGATTGAGAATGTGCGCAAGGTTGCAACTCCCCTGCCTGCTGAGTTCAAGCTTGTGAAAGCTGCAGAGGATGAAGGGGTTGAAGCCGAGGAGCAGAACCAA